TTGATTTGTAATTTTTGTTTTAGCAAACCTGTCAAACTAAGTATGAGGAGATTTCATCAAGCCATATAAGGACTTCTTCAACTTGCAAACTAATGTATTATTCAATTGATTTTCTAAGCGCATCATTCAAGTAGGCATTTTTGACATTAAGTTGGTATAAAGGCTAATTTTGATTTACTGCTAGAGAGTAAAACTCGAATAGTATTAATTTTGGCAACAGGTTTAAATATTTCCTGATAGTCCCAATCTTGTATAAGTACGTGAAGCCCTTGTTTTACTTTGAGTCTCTCTACATTTCATTACACTTGATATTTGATCGTGAATATCCATTTGTAACCTACTATTTTTTTTATGAGGTAACATTGTAAGTGGTTAATGTGGTATTCTTTTCTATAGCCTGTTTTTTTCTCAAATGCCCGCTTCCATGTTGGAATTTAGAGCCTTTTAAATAGAGTTGGGAACCTACACACCATCAACGTTTATCATAAAAGACCTATGGTAACAACTTCCAATAGGCTACATATCTTCCAATTGGATGAACAGGCACCCTTAGATAGTTTTACTGTGTGCAACTGGTTGATTAAACTTATCAACCACTGGTGTAAGAAAGTTTTGAGTTGAGAAATCCATACCATTATGTTTATCAGTAGGATTTGGTTCTGGCTTTTGACAATCTTGAACCTGCACAGTGTCCAATGCATGCTCAATGGTCCTGATGTAAACACAAAAATTTTGATCATTGGTGTCATGTTAAGTTGGAGTGGAGACAATTGGGACTCTTTCTGTGTTAGAGTTTGATTCTTCAAGTGGAGTTGGTTGATGTGGAGTACAGACAAGAAGAGCTGATTGAGGGACAAAATTTTGTTTAGTTAGAAAAGAAAATTGGTTGGAGTATTTTGGAAAAATTTTCAAATGTGATATTCTCTCGCGTTCTCCTTTGAACTTTAGATTTGGGAAATATATGCTTTATTTTCAAAGAAAGTGACATTTATGGAGTTGTATATATTTTCTGAGTGATTGGAGAGTGGTATTTATGCTCTTTTTGATTGGATTATTAACAAATTAAAATGCATCAGAGAGACTTGGGATCAATTTTGGTGCGGTGTTGTTGATGGATGTGAACAAAGACAGAACAAAAAAAAAATTCAATGATAAGTCAACAGAAAAAGAGCTGTGTGGGAAGCAGTCAATGAGAACATTATGGGGAATTTGAAATTTTAGGACTCGACTAGGAATCTTAGTGTGAGTTATATTGTTGTAAGAATGGCTTCCCCCCAAAATTGTTTAGATACATGATTAAACAACATAATAACATGAGCTATCTCAACTTAGTGTTTTTTTTCTTTATGTATTTTTTTTTGTTGAGGAATATTCACACAAGAACTTAAATGAATAATATCATGTTTGAAAAGATAATGGCCAAACATTCAATTAAGGTATTCCGTAGCATTGTCGGTTTTAAGAATTTGAATTTTACTTTTGAATTAAGTGAGAATTATGGAATGAAAGGATTAAAATTTTGTGGCTATTTCTGATTTTTCTTTCAAAAGGAATGCCCATATTGTTCTTTTGTGATCATGTACGAATGATATAAACTATCGTGCCCTATTTATATTGTTTGTGTGTAGGTCCCCATATATCATTGTGAAATGTAGAAAAAAGATGTGAAGTATTACAATTTGGAATATACATGTTCGATATGCTTTGCAAGTTGATTAGTTTTACGTTGATAAATATCGGATTCTTAGTCATTGATAAATATCGAAGCAGACGACACGATTGCCTGCTGCGGGAGCGGCGAAGCTAATGGCGGCAAGTTCTTTCGTGTCTCTGTGTGTGAGGGAGGAAGCAGATGGTGCGGGAGATCGACTGCGTGGGGAGACCTTGAATTAGCGTTGATTATGTATTAAGAATTATGGCTTTTTATTTTTCTTTTTTGGGCGCTCCCGGGTGTACGCCCTGTGAGCATTATGCCTCCTCACAGGTTTGGGGCGAATAGGCTTATTCCTCGCTTTAGGATGCGCCCCATAAAATGCCTTTTACAATAGAGACAAAGAGAATTTGAACTAGACTAAAAAAAATTACTTTACCGATGATATTGCCTACCGATGAAGTTATTTTTTTAGCAAGTATAGAACACCATGTATCCAGTATTGCCAATCATCTTTCCCGAATCTACAACATGAAAATTACAACAGTTAAAATAAAATCTAGTCACATATTTTAGGTTCAGAATCAGTTTGTTGATTGAGAGAATGTTGTAATTTAACTTTGAAATATAAAGCACAAACTAGAGTTGAAGATCCTTCTCAATTTAATTGATCCAGTTTTTGCTATTGGTGAGAATGAACAATTGGCTATTCGAACCAAAGATTGATTAATACATGGGTTATAATTTTTGAGATATTGATGTCTGACGTCATAAGGTCTATGGCCTGGAATCAATCATCTAATGTTTTAATTTATTTCATTGGACACTAAAAGCATGACATAAGATCCCTTGGTGTGCCAACAAATTGATATGTTGCTCGACAGATACATGTTTTGAACAATTACTGAATATTTTTTGTACTGCCTCAATTTGCTCCTTAGTGAATAAACTGAATTTTAAATTGTTGTTTGAAGATATGATAGGGACAAGGGACGTAGGCTCGAATTTGAATGTGACTTTTGAGGAATAAGATTTTGAGATCATGCTGTGTTTGACCATTTGAATCATAAATCAAGAAGGCCTATTGCATGAACAAAAGCAAGAGTTCTCTTAGTTAAACTGTCGATTGGACAAGCAAATAGGAACTTGAGGAATGAGGACCCTTAATTTGACTGCTTGACTAGACGAGCGATCATGAACCAGAGGAAGGTTCATAGCTCTTTCAGCAAGAAGTGGTCGGTCTGGTGACACGTGAGATGACAACAAATAAGAATCTGTTTCAATTGACCCTTCTCAGATTCAAGAAGAAAGTAGAGAGGATGATTCACCAGAGACTGAAGGAAATGAACAGAAAAAATTGAATCGAACGATTCAGACGGAGCAAGGGTATGTTCGAATGCGAAGTAATCCATTCTGCGGGGGTGGATGGAGTGGTTCAAACCGTTCAAATGGACAGGGCGAGCAACCTGATCAAAATGAAGATGAATCAAACCAAACAGGCGACACTGAACAGTAAAGCCTACAATGCCCAATAAACATAAAACGTTATAGAGATAGTGACAACAAACATATGAAACTGACAAATTGAATGATGAAGCTATACGAGCTGCTGTGAAGACACTTTGCACCAACCAGCTAGGAGAAGACGAAACGATTGAACAAAGCTGACGATGCCAATCAGGAAGACGACGAAGCACCGAAGGAAACAATTGATGTAGTTGAACTAAGCAAATGAAGTTGACCAAGCCTATGAAGTCCAACAAAGCAGACGACTTCGATCGACACAGACAAAGTGGATGAAGATGACTGAAGATTGAAGTAGACGAAGCATACGATCAACGAAGTTTTATTCTCGTCACAAGGTGACGGTGAAGCAGAGGAAGCTGAACGAAGCCAAAGACATTGATTCTCAGAAGCTAACATTAATAATAATAAAAGGAACCAAAACAGGAGTCCCTCTAAAAATGCGAAAATAGAAAACTAAAATATGTAATAAAGGAATTACAATTAGTTAAATATATTATGGGGATTTCTTTCTAATGCGGATTGACAATTTGCAATACATTTTTGCTATTTTACACTTAAAAATTGATATTAATATTCGATCCCTTGTTTTTTCTTTATCAAATCTAAATTTTTGAGGTCCTTTTTAACATATTTTCTTAATTAATTCATTAGTCCCATGATTGTTTATATATATTTAGATGCATTTTTATCCATAATTTTATTATTGTTCTATGTTTAAAATAGTTTTTGTTGGCATGTATTATACATTATGGCTAATGAAGATCTTTGTATTTATGGTGAATTATTCATCATTGACAAGTATGATTAGCATTCCTTTGTATTTTCTCCTCTACCAAATCATAGATGCTTGAAAATGCTACTTTTTTTTTATCAGACAATAAAATAGTCTCTTGGAAGTGACATTCCTAACCCAAAACATCTAGGATATTATGCCATTCTATTCAGGAAATTAAAATGGTAAATATTTATTCTATTAAAATTATTACTCGATTACCCATTAGACTTGGATATGTCCTGATTATGAATCATAAAATTATTTAAAGTAAAATGCTCTAACTAATTTTTTCACTACTATGGAGCCTTACGAAAACTATGAATCAGATCAAATGTGGTAATCAGTTAAACTAAGACAATAGTAGAACAAATGCAAGCTAGGTCTTGGTAACGAGGGTTGAAGGAAACTACATGTTTTGTAGAGAATGTGATAGGACTCAGGAAACTCAGCAACAACAACAACAACAACAACAAAGCCTTAATCCCACTACGTGGGGTTGGCTACATGAATCGGTTTTCTCCATTGCGTCTTATTTAGTGTCATATTTTCATTTAGTTCTAGTAAATTAAGATCCTTTTTTATACAATAAGCCCAAGTCTTCCTAGGTCTGCCTCTGCCTTTCTTAACACAAGTCAAATCTAAAACATCTACTCTCCTAATCGGATCATCAGACGTTTAATGTGACCAAACCATCTAAGATGACTTTCTCTAATTTTGTCTGTCACAGGTGCTACACCAACCCTATCACATGATCTAAAACTCAGGAAACTCAGGATTACATATTTTTGATTGTTCAGGTGGTAGCCTTGACCATAATTTTTGGGAAGTAGAGGTCTGAAATATGATTGATAGGATGATCCTTCTTTCATGCTGCACCCTCTGAGAAAGATTGCATTGGACAAGTAAAGGATCACGCAGAGGGGACATATATTCTGATGGCACACAACGTTTTTTTTATTTATCTTAATTATTGAGGTCCTATTTTTTTTTAAGTCTTCTTATTTGATCTCTGAAGTTTTTACCTAGAATTTTCTTTTCATGGAGCAGGGTCTTTCAGCTGGGCTATTAAGGCAAGCTACTTACACAACAGCTCGGCTTGGATCATTTAGGTATGATAATTTCTGTTTCTAGAAAGAATTGCTGTTTTTATAGAAATTACTTTAATGCTTAATTCTTTCCTTTTTGCTCTCAGTTTGGTTAGGAGTTACTGCTAGCTTGATGTGGGCAGTAAAGTTGTTTTCTGTTTAGGTATATAGTTTTATGAAGGTCAGATGTTCTTGTGCTTAGGAACAATCCATTTTATGTCAAGTTTGGTAGCTATTAAATTAATCTAGTCTATTACCAATGGCATTGGAATGGTTCAAGCTATATCTTGCCTGGCTACTTCAAATGATGCAACTAAAATGTATCGTGAATTTAGCTGGATCTGGCAGTTCTTATGGAAGTTGTTTGCAAATTTTCTGATATATGCATTGTTTGGTTATCTTCAGATTAACTCTAGGTTAATAATGCTCTGGATAAACTAAATATATATATATGCTTTGTTGGCCATCAATATCTTCAAGTAGCTTTGGACACTGAGTTTATTAATTCCATGAAATGTTATACACTCCAATCAAGACTGTCTGATTGTGAGAAAGTGGCCAGGTTGTAATTTCGGTGAATTTTTGGCTTATTTTTTTAATGTGAGGGTTGGATTGAATTTGGAAAGGAAATTTTGAATCATTTAGCATTACACATTAATGCCATCTATGATTTGCTTTCCTTGGTCATTCGAAAAATTTACCATGCTTTGCTTGTGTATTTAATTTTTTCTATGAGGGCCCATTATTTGTTCTTTTTCCCCCAAACCCTTCACAGTCAAATACTTACGTTTGCTTATTGACCAGGGTATTGACAAACAAAGCAACTGAGGCTAATGAAGGGAAGCCCTTACCACTCCTTCAAAAAGCTGCTATCGGTTTGACAGCCGGAGCTATAGGTGCTTGTGTTGGTAGTCCAGCTGATCTTTCACTAATCCGCATGCAGGCTGATGCAACTTTACCCCCAGCACAACGCAGGAATTACACAAATGCCTTCCATGCACTCTATCGAATTACTGCTGATGAAGGGGTTCTTGCTCTCTGGAAAGGGGCGGGTCCAACAATAGTGAGGGCAATGGCATTGAACATGGGCATGCTGGCCTCTTACGACCAAAGTGTTGAATTTTTCAGGGATTCGCTTGGTTTTGGAGAAGTTAGCACAGTTCTTGGTAAGAGCAGGCAGTGTATTTTATTGGTGTGTTATCACTGTAACTTCATGTACACATACGGATTCTTAATCTGCATATGATCCAGAAGAATGTAGTCTATGGATTTTAACATGAACTCATACAACGATGGTGATACTTGGTACATTGAAATTTAAGAAGGAAAAAAACATTGTTTAGAATGAAATGTACTTCGTTTTACAGTACCCATTTTCTATGGACAGGTTGACTTTTTTTATTGTGGTTGATTACATACTTGTTTTTAGTTTGAACAGATACAATTTCAATTTGAATATCTGCAATGAAGAATATCATTGTGCTTTGGAATTGATCTCATCTGTGTCCTACCTTACCACCACTTTGGTCTACTGAAGTTTGAACTAGATATATTGATGACCTAAGTCATTCGATACCAAAAAAAAAAAAAAAGGAGAAAAAAAATTTTCTCTAGGTTAGTGACTTGCAACTTTTGGTGTTCTATTGCATGTGAGGGAACCTTACATAAAGGTTTTAGGGGAACACCAAAAGTTGGGTGCCACTATCATCGTCGTCGTAGTCATCATCATCATCAACACTATTATGATGATTATGATCATTATGATCTCTTGGTCTCTGCAAACTACTTTAGTCATGGTTAATCAAGCTCTCTTTCCCACCAATTCTGTCTTTTTTTTTTTTAAATGTTGAGAACATTGACTGAGAAATTTACTGCTTCAAGTTTAGCCCATCAAATTCTAATATTCGAATTTTTCGAGAATGTTGATTTTCTGGTGTATTTGCAGGAGCCAGTGCTGTTTCAGGATTCTTTGCATCTGCCTGCAGCTTGCCCTTTGACTATGTAAAGACGCAGATTCAGAAAATGCAGCCAGATGCCTCTGGGAAATATCCCTACAGCGGTTCTTTCGACTGTGCCATAAAGACCTTGAAGAGTGGGGGACCTTTCAAATTTTACACTGGATTTCCTGTTTACTGCGTAAGAATTGCTCCACATGTCATGGTAAGAAATTCGTTCCACAGTTTCATTTCAATTACTCTTTACCTGCATACGAGCACCACATGATATAATAATGGAATCAATAAACTATGCCAATAACAACAAACTGTAACAGCCAACTTTTCTTCCATTTGATTACAGCCGTCCACTGTAAACAAACTAAATAATATTTAGCTTCTATTGCAAAACAAATTATACCAATCTAACCACCTACGGCTTTATATTGCCTATATATACATTGATTGTAATAAACATTAGTAACATACAAAATGGAAATTCTTCTCTGCTCACCGTCGGCGGGGAAAAGGGTGGATGGGTGGATTGGGGGAGGAGTCGCCCGTGAGAAGCTGTCAGTCACCGGAATCGAAATCCCGTCGCCCGCTTCGGAAGGACGTTTTAATTTATATATAGATTTAAGTTTAAAATCAAATATGAAAATCAAACTGACCCCATATTTTTTATAGTTTAAATGCTACCTCAAATCCGAAAGAACGCTTTACCTCAAATCCTGTATCTATCCCGAGGAATAAACACAAGATTTGATGATGAGACTCGATCAGATAAATTAAGATATATATGACGTCCGTTTGGTCTGCAAAACCATTTTATTTGCCGACAAATTCCCCTATTTAATATGAAAAATTAAATAGAGTTTATTTAAGCTAGGTTCGGAAAAGCTCCATATAAGGACAAACCTCTATAGTTAATTACATCTTAAATGACTAAAATCACTTAAGAATACTCTCGATAAAAAGCAAGAAAAATTATCTTCAAGGACTTCAAAAGGATGTGACTTTTCAACGAAATTAGACAGAGGTGTGCAAAAGGGAATGGTTCAAACTTGCGACATTTATTAAATGATCCAAAGGAAAAAGAACTAGGGGATGCCACAAATCCAGAGGAGATCCATGGTGGCTTCCTAGCCGACCCTTTGGGTTGGGTTCTTTTGTTTGTCTTCAGTTTTGAGGAGGAATATTCAAGTGTTTTATCCTGTCAATTTTATTTAATTAGGACTTACATTCGTGTGAAACACTCACACAAATAATCTGGAAGATGTGAGGATTTAGGTCTTAAAGGACGACAACCTTGGAATACTAAAACGAGTTAGGGCTTAGATCGTACAACAGAGTCATACGAATACCTAACGAAAAATGTTCAACATTTATGTTGCACTAGACGAACAACCTCGAAATCCTATGGATTGTTATTTTAAATTCTAAGAAAGGAATGGTTTAGCTAGGGAGGACATATTCTGCTGTTGAAGATGGTCGTGCTGCCCACCGCGCTAACTCCAAGCTCTTTGTCGTGACGAGTTTAAGTTTTCTAGGGTGTCCAGTTATTATGTCAAATCAAACGACCCTATGATAATAGTTCTCTAAGCACCCTATATGGAAAGAAGACATGCTTAAGACTATGTAATATAAAATGTGCAGTACAAGACAAGCAGTAGAAAACACAATAAAAGAAACAGTGTACATGCCATATATGACAGTAGCAGGTATAGTAAAAGGAACAGTATAATATGCTATATAGAGTGGTGACAAGTACAGTAAAAGGAACAGTATAACATGTTTTACAGAACAGTAGCAGGTATAAACAGGAATAGAATAACATGTTGTACAGGGTAGTAGCAGGTATAAACAAGAATAGCATAACATTCTGTAAATTTAAAACGAACTTGTACGTCCGTGGGATCTGTTGTTTCTTAAATATAGCAAGCTGAAATGTATTGCAAAAAGCGAAATCTGAAAGAAAAGCCATCCGGGAAATCCGAAAAAAAAGAGTGTAACGACGACTCATGACCGAAAACTCGAGAAAATCAACGAGAAAAGACTCGAGTAAACATCTTCAAAAATCTCGGAGAAATCTTGAAGAAAAGAAAAGAAACACGAGTGCTATGTCCAAAGCTTCGATAAGACAAAAAGTTCAGGTAAGGGGGACCGCAAACACTTGTGTAGGGCTAGGCTTAGATATATGTATATGTACTCGAGGGTCCATGAAGACTACTCGGTCACCCGAATGTATAGAACCCGCCACTCGTCTAGAAGGGTGTCTAGAGGGCTACTTCTCAGCCTAAACAGGTATTCGTTAGGTGGACAATCAATTTTTAAAAATTTATTTTAAAATTTATGTTTTTTTTTTGACATGCACATAGGTTTTCAAAAAAAAAAAAAGATTATTAAATTTCATTTTATAGCGATATTATTATTATTATTATTTTTTTGAAATAAGTTTTAACAATTTTTTTTTATTGTCCACAAGTCGATTACGCTGTCGGGCGTGAGACTGCCAACTATCTAAGGATGTTTGAGCCAACTCCTGCTAGACTTATGTCGTTGAAGGATACCGTTATCCTATTGTTCATCAAATACTTGGATTTTGATGTTATAGGATAGGACATCTTTCTGTTCTATCTTCGGTGTGCCTTTATCATCACCACCCTACGCCCCAAAATAAACTACTTGCGACCTTGCTTGATGGTTTCACGTATAGCAAAAGATTATACGTGGACACTTATGCGTCGGACATAAACATCGAAAAACTGAACCAAGAAACAAGGAAAGAAAAGAACAAAAATGGGGTGAGAGAGAGGAGACACTGATCCATCTAAAACACCGAAAAAGAGAATAGATCAGTTCTCAAAACTCCTATCGAAAAGACCTGGAAAAGTAGGGCCCAAGGTCTTTCCTAACAAACATAAAAGGTCACTTTGCGCTGATTTTCCAAACCCCAAAGACGTAGGCTTAATAAAATCAACCAAATGCTCTCCCCAAATAAAGCTTGCAAATCTTCCCAAAATCCCAAAGTTGATATCAAAATCTTCCAACTTCCAAATTAATCCATAGCCTCACATATCAAATAAGCATAAAATCTTCTAAAAAAATCAAATAAATGCTCACGACTGGGGTTACTAGAAAGAGATAAACAGCAGGTAAGGCTCTCGGTCAGGGCAACAAAAAGAAAAGGGAGGAGCTATTAAAGCTCACGGTTAAAGAAACCCAAGGCCAAAAGAGGCTCACGGCTAAAGGCAGCAAGGGACAGCTGCTAAAGCCGACGACCAAAGACAACCTAAGGCACAAGTAAGGCTCACGGCTAAAGCAACCCAAGACACAAAAGAGGTTCACGGCTAGAGCAACCCAAGGCACAAAAGAGGTTCACGACCAAGGCAAACCCAAACCGATCCTATGGAGATATTTGATATACATAGGAGAGTGAATGGAAAAACCCTCACAAAGCCTCCAAATCGATTCCAAAGCATTGTAAGCAAGGCCCACAGCCAAGACCCCAGGCTGCAATTGTGACCTCCAATACTAAGCTGTAATAAGAGTTAGAGCAGTATTCTCATGCCTTCAAGACATCTCAAAATAGAGCTACCACATGCTTTGAGTGAAAATGAATGAAAGCTTCACAATACATATACTAACATGCTCATGAGAGGGGCCAAATTATTCCAAGGCCATCCTTTTAATTGTTTTTAATATAAATATGGCTCAGAAGGTAGGAAACATGCCATGACTTCAGCACTTTAGATAAGCAAAGTAAAAGAGAGAATTAATAGCATGCCACATTGCTTAACCAAATCTAACTTCTAGCACTACACCACAAGATCATTTGAAGTACAAAGAAGGTAACATAGAAACTCTAAAAGCACTCCGGAACTTCACTTCCTCTCCCAATAGCAGGAGGAAACCGATTCAAGCACCAGAAGATCAAAGAAGTGAGTGAGAAAGAAAAAGAGCAGAGTTTTCTCCCTTAGAAAGATTTTTGGCCCCCTTGGAAGCTTCATAGAGGAGCTCTCATATACGCTAAGGGCAAAGGAGACGAATGATTAAGAAGATACGACAGAGGGATCGAGAGATGCGGAGGATTAGATCCTCGCAGAGGATACGATCTGCGACAGAGGAGATCGAACCCATATCGCAGAAGATAGGATACGAGCGATGGGCGCCTACGTGATCTTTCCCGCGTGCGAGGCGAACGCGGGAACGAAGCCTCTCCAACGACACGAAGGAGCGGGCCGAGCGACCGAACGAGCCATCCTAGGGCTAAGGCAGGCCCACGGGTTCGAAGTGATGAGGCGGGGGGGGGAAGAAATTTAGGTTAAGGGTTTTAATACAGATTATTAATTATAATAATAATAAAAATAAAATATTATTTATTATTATAATAAACACTTAAATAGGTATTTTCCCCAAAACACGTTGTCGCAATGAAGCGAACGTCCTCCTTAAGCAAAATCGACGTTCCGGACGCTTCGGCGCACTCCGGCACTCCGTTTCATCATCCGGAGTCGTCCGAGCAACTTTGTTGACGATTGGGACAAAAAAGCGTTGCGGTCCGAATCCTGTCAAAATTTCGGCTCGAATTCGATTAAACAGGACAGCGGAGAGCGCAGCGGCGCCAAATCAACGAGTAGAGTCACTCCTATGGCCGGGGGCCTATGGCTGTCAGTCCTATAAGAATGCTCCTTGAGTTCCTTCGGAGTAGCCCTACCTGCCAAACAATAGCGGTTAAGATTACTACATGGAACGTCAAGTCGAGCGAAGAGAAGTCCAGAATTGCTAACGGTGAGGGCTCCTTTACTAGTTTTCTAGATGTAGTCGACAGAAAGGTTCTACGGCTAGTTCCTAGACTACTAAGGAGGGGAAACTACACCTCGACCGAAAGCAAGGTCAACACTAATCATCTTGATTCATTTCTCTGTGAGTGTTGTTGCTCTGTTATTGACCGACTTATATAGTGTACGCAATTGCACGTGCCTTTTCAAGTGATAAAATGATAAAATAAGAGATTCTCACAAGAATTGAGATTGAGTTTCAAGTGATAAAATGATAAAAATAAGAGATTCTCACAAGAATTGAGATTGAGTCTAATTAAGTTAAATATTAATTTTTTCAAACCGATGTTTTATCCAACAACACATTCAAGATTTAAAGTTTTTAAAGCTAAATTTTTTGGTTTTTGCAAACGAGAAAGTTCTTTGAATCTATTAGTACCTAACCTTTATGTAAGGTTCTCTCGCAGATTGTCACTCTTATATTTGTATCTCCCCTTGGATTTAAGAGACATTGAGTCTTCATTATTACAATTTAGAGATGTGCCTATCTTGAAGCATGTAAATGACTATGAGCAATATTCCTCCAATAAGCGAAATTTTTTTTAAAAAAATAATATGTTTATGCTTTTAGAATACTGATTGTTAGCCCTCTTATTCCACTATGTTTTCATCAAAATTACTAGGTCATATTTGGTTTTAAAATATCTGTGAGTCAAACATAATTAAATAAAGCGTAGGGTTAAGCAAAATAATTCTTCATTGAAATTTAAACTAATCACATAAACGACATAAAATTTTTAATATAAATCAGAGAATGTTTGGCTTAGTTTCTAAATATTTTTGATAAAACAAGAACAAGCCTTTATCTTACTAAGTGGGGTCGGCTGCAGGAATCTTTTTTCTTCATTGTATTCTTTCGAATGACAAATTTTCCTTTAATTCTATTAAATTAAGATCATTTGCTATTCAAATTTTCCTAGTCTTTTTATGTCTACCTCTACCTTTCTTTATATCAGTCAAATATAAAAAATCTACTCTTCTTCATCGGATGGCTGATGTTTAATGTGACAAAATCTTCTAAGGCGATTTTTTCTAATCTTATCTGAAATTGGAGCTACCAAACCCTTTCACATAAATATTTTCAATAAAAACAAACACAATGGTACAAGTATTGTTGCATGCTAGAAAATTCATGGTGAAAGAATGATAATCTAACTAATTAGTATTGCACACAAATCTAGCATGAACATAGATAAAAGAAAAGTCATGGGAGATGACAGGATTTCTTACGTGAAAAAATTTTGAAATGGAAAAAAAACACGAGGCCTACTCCAGCTAAAATAATTCACTATATAATTAGATGTATAAAGATCCGCTTTTCACTTATATTAGTGAAGATGAGATTACAAAATTACAATGGTCATGGTTGCGCTTTAATAGCAATTGTTGAAAATAAAAGCCTTAATTAACTATAAAAATCATAGTTGGAGGTTATAAAAGTTATAGTTTGCTACAATAATGACTAGTGGTGGTTAAGAATAACCTTTGGTGACCGATTCATTCTCTGGTGGTTGGTCGCAATTTCATATGGCTAGCGACAACCGTCATAATTTAAGAGTTTAACTTTAATTCTTAGTTCACTCTTCTCTTATCTTCTTATTCCCCCTTCTAAGCGAAGAATAGAGGTCAATTTATAATTTTTTGAGAGGTGCATTTTGATAAATTCATCTATCTTCCAAAACATTTCATTTGCATGTTCACATTGATTCCCTTGATTATAGGTAGTATTTACAATATTTAAATACCTTAATGATCTTATAATTGAATAATCTTAAGCTTGCTGATTTTCTTTCGTTAAGCCACTCAATTTGACTATACACATGCCAAATTTTGAGATCGTTTGGCCTTCCAATTGATGCAAAGCTTTTGATTAGTTTTTGATTTGGGCTTATTTAAATTCGAATTGCATCTCTTTCGATTTTATTGAGCTCGTCTTGTCGAGATGCTCAATATGATTATAAAGTTGTTTCGGGGCATAAATGATCCTGAATTTGAATTTGGAATATTTTTTTGCTCAAAATGCATTGAGATTCGTACCTGGTGATAAAAATTTGTTGTTGACATCAAATATAATGCAAGCTTACGCTAAAGTTCAAAGAATCAAATCTAATTTAAGCTGAAGAAGACCAATCGGCTCTTGCTTATCTCCTTTTACACAAACACACTCTTCCTTTCACTCGCACTTCCACTACTAACACTAGTGGCATTATCTCCTCATGATACACTACAAACGCTCCCTATATACTTTCTAGTTTTCAAATTACCCAAAATTTGCTCTGGTTTACTCCATAACTCTCTCGGATGTGCTTCAAAACAGAACAATAACTGCTTTGTCTAGTCGTTGCATCACATCGCGACAAACTGTACTACAACGCTGTCGATTTGTCATTGCAACGCTAAAAAAATGGCACTGTAGAGAGTTTTCCTTCTCAGCTCCCTTAGCACTACTAGAAAGCATTCAAATTGTCGATGATACAATACAATCTGCAGTTGGTAAGGGTACAATGAAGGGTACCAATGAAAAGAAAAATGAGGAGAGTGAACCCAGTGATGGTGAAATTCAGGCTGAAGGTGATCTAAAGGTGTATACACGAAGAAGGAAACAAAATTAGGGAATAGTTACTGAAGTGTCACTTGTGCTAGCAAGTCTCTTATCAATGCCTTTCCCAACTATTGAGACACCTACACTGTCCACCTTCTACTCAGAATCTTCAGGTGATATGAGTCTTCATTCTCTTAACCCCACAACTTTAAAGTGGACCTCTCTCAACAATGCGAGACATCCTCCCAGTCGTTATGGGTGAGATCGTGACATTGCTAACTTTATTTCATATTCTAATATATCACATTTACATAGAGCATTCATTGCATATTTGGACACTGTCTATATGCTTATGTGTTGGCAGATTGCTAAGGAGGATCCTAAGTGGAAAGATGCGTTGCATGAAAAGTTTAGAGATCTCGATAAAAATCGAACATGAGAGATAGTGCCACTGGGGCAAGTGGATCTTCGCAGAGAAGCAAACTCTTGAAGGGAAGGTGGAATGGTACAAAATCACAACTAGTGGCGAAAGGGTATAGTCAGCATTTCATTGACTATGAAGAAACTTTTTCACTAGTAACAAAGATGAGCACAATAAGGAAACTGGTTTCTTTGCCAGTAAATAGTGGCTGGAGGTTACCCCAACTTGATGTGAAGAACATATTTCTTCTCTGTGAGTTACTGGAGGAGATATATATGGAAATACCATTAGGATTTAGTACACTCCAGACAATGGGCAAGATGTGTAGGCGCAGGAAGTCATTGTATGGCTTGAAGCAGCCTCCTCGAACTTGGTTTGATAAGATTGTTGATGTGACTTTTTATTCTTGAACAACAACAATCTAATATAGAGGATAACAAGATTCACACATAATCACGTATATAAATAAATTTGTAATCGGGTGTCTTACCTGGTATATTTCTTAACCTGAATTGAGCTTCTTAACGAGTTTATTCACGAGCTTTAAATGATATTGTTCTTAATTGTAAATTAATCGAACAAACAATCTAAGTGTGTTTATTTATTAATTAAATATTCATTAAAGTATTTAAATTTGTTCAATTAATTAATTAAATGATAAAAAACTAACTCCAATCAAGCAGAGCCATGAATACTTTCTCGAGCATATTGGTTCATTGATAACTCTGCACATCGCTGTTGCGAAACAAATATTACCAACCTAACCATGTAACGCTTATTTATATCAAGAAGGAGCTCCAATTGAGCAGAGCTCTGCAGTCCTAGCCACTGTTGAAAAACATATATATACCAGTCTAATCTCCTGCTGTCAAATACTGCCTATATCCCTACTCCACATTGGTAACATAATGGAAATTCTTATCTGCTTATTGTTTTACTTCATTTCCCTGTTAACTCTTGCTCTTATATGTATTTCTGTTCATGGTCTCCCACCAGACTGAGTCTAATACTCCTTGACGTGCAATCCGTTCCATTGAATTGATTTGTGGTTTCTATTTGCTGCAGATGACGTGGATATTCTTGAATCAAATTCAGAAGCTTGAAAAATCTGCTGGGTTCTAGAGGTTTCTGATAACATTCCGGCTTTTTTGAACTGTTGCTGAGGCTGGTTTTGGATCTTGGTAGCCCATCTAATCCATTGGCAGGGAACTGCTGATTTCACAAAAAAAATCAAAATAAAAGATCCTTTGTTGCGTAGTGGTGATTTTTTTGTCATATTTTGTTTTGCAAGGAATATTATTTTTACATAAAAGCACATCCTATAATCCATGTTGAATTATCATAAGGTTGCCTTTTATCTACCTGCTTTATTATTTTTAGTCTTTTGAGAAGTTTGAGGGTCACCTCCAACTAAATTCATTATTTTGTTAAATTAACACACATGAGAATTTTAAAAACAGGAGTTTCTAAAAGCTATAGGGTCACAATCAGAAGTGCAGAAATAAAGTAAAAAATATTCCAAAATAACAAGATATCTATATGCTCCAAGATTAGTCAAAGGAGGTTCCATTCAAAAGTAGATAGAACATCACTATGAAATTCAACAAAAAATAATGAGACAGATTGGTTGATTCCCCAATAATAGAAATATAAGAGAGTTAATCGACAACTTGTCAAACAAATGCCCAAGACAAAACCAGAGAAGGTGTTACAAGTCCAGCCAACGACATAGAACAACCACCCAAACGAGCAGCTGGTAGTAGAACCCATTAAAGTTGGGATCCAGCTTGCTAAGGAAGTAAGCTACTAACAGACAAGGAGGAACGACAAGCATCCAACAATAACACTATTGAACATAGACAATAAGAGTCCTCCAAATTATAGTAGAGTGAGCAAAATGAAGCCAATAGTTTAAACAAAATAGGCTGGACAATAGTAACAATATAGTAAAGGCAATGTTATATAATAATATATAGCAGATGTCCCTATTCAATAGAGCATTGGAATTATCTATAGTAAATTGAATGAATAATTGTAGGCATTGAGCCATTGAGATTCCACTTCCTGCCCTTTTGTCAAATAGCAAAGCGAATCCTCTTAGTGACAGATGTCAAAATGCGAGCTATTATTATTTAATTTCTATAATTTCTTTAAGCTAAATGTACTAAGGTGTAATCGGAGTGGCTAGTAGTAGATTTTCTAGTAATATTGTGGCTAATGTTTTTAGCATGAATGAGAATTTGAATGAAACTGTACCGCAGGTGAAAAAAATTACTGTGGGAGAACTTTATAACTGTTTTTCATTTTGAAAAGTGAATACACATTTGTGAGCCAGTGTTTCAGCTGCTTTTACGAAAATGCTGTTTTAAAAATAGGGAAGCCGCAAACAGTTGATCCTCGCCTGGGTCTGCAGATCTAATTGAGGTATGGATTGAAATTACCCTTTTGCCCCTCATTAATTCAGAAAGTGACTCATTTTATCTCTAATATTACCCCTCCTCTCTTCTCTTTAAGTGGCGTTGGGGTACATTCACTGTCATCTTCTCTTATTACTTGTATTCGATGTCGCCTCTCTCTGTATTTATCGCTAACGAAACCTTTACCTCCTTTCTTGTTTTACCTAGGTACATTAACTGTCATCTTCTCTTATCACTTGTATTCAATGTCGCCTCTCTCTGTATTTATCTCTAACGAAACCTTTACCTCCTTTCTTGTTTTACCTATGTGGTGGTGGTTTGGTGCTTCTTGTTTTACTTATCTGGTTGTGTCTTGGGGCTTCTCGATTTTCCATTGTGTTGGTGGTTTGGTTCTTCTCGTTTTACATATGTGGTTGTGTCATTGAGGCTTCGTAGTTGCCCTTTGTGGTGGTGGTGTGGTGTTTCCGTTTTACTTATGTGTTTGTGTCTTGTGGCTTCTCAGTTTTCTTCTATGATCGTGGTTTGATGCTTCTTATTTTATTTATGTGGTTATGCTTTAGGGTTTCTCGATTTTTCCCTATGGCGGTGGTTTGATGCATCTCATTTTACCAAATTGGTTGTGTCTTAGGGTTTCTTGGTTTTCCTTTGTGGTGGTAGTTTGGTGTTTCTCGTTTTATTTATGTGATTGTACTATTGGGGCTTCTCAACTTTTCTCTTTAGTGGTATTTTGGTGCTTCTTGTTTTACTTTTGTGGCTGTGCCTTGGGGTTTCTTGGTTTTTTTTTTAGTGGTGGCTGTTTGGCGCTTCTTGTTTTATCACATTGGTTGTGTCTTAGGGCTTCTCAATTTTTCTTTGTGGCGATGGTTTGTTGCTTCTTGTTTTATCACATTGGTTGTGCGTTGTGGCTTCCCAATTTGCTTGTTTTGTGGGTGTGGTTGTGGTTCTGGCAGTGAACTTTACATATAAAGCCCTCAATGCACAACAACATATGTACATATCCAACATATAAAGTTCCTTATAAGTTTCATGAGACACCTAAGGATGGAGTGATACACTTTGTTGTAGCAGATTTACATAAAGGTTACGAGTTTAATATCTCTATAGTTCTTTTGGTAGTCTTCCAAATAAATTCATCTTTGTTAGTACTTGGCTTAATTGTCTAAGATGCTGCTTATTTTTGGTAATGAAGATGCAAGTTTTTTGTGGCATGGTGGTCTCTCTTGCCTGTTGGTTGTGGGTGTGGTTGTGGTTTGGCTGTCTCTGTTGGTTGTGAGTGTGGATGTTTTTTGTAATGTTGGTTGTTGGTAGGGGTTGGCTTTGCTTTTGATGTGGCTTTTGCATGGATGGTTGTGGTTGGTGTTGGCTCCAGTTTTGGTTGCGGTTTTGTTTTTATGGTTATTGGTTGTGGGTGTTTATTTGGTTGATGTTTTTGCATACAATTAAGTGAACTATTACGCATTCGTATATGTAATGTGTGTTGTGTCGCTTTTGGTTTTGGTATTGTTATGTAGAGCAATGATGGAAAAAAAAAATCAATAGATTACCAATTGTGACTTATATAATTGTCCCTACTTGTTTTTCCCTTGATACGACTTTGTTTTAAAACGCACATCACACATAACCATATATACTATCTGGTTTTAGAGCTCATCAAACTTTTTACTACAAATACTATATGATCTTAAAGCACGCTTGACGCTGTTAACAACAAATACTACATGGTCTTAGATCACATATGACATTGGTAACCATTAAAACTACCTGATCTTACCACACATGACATTGTTAACCACATAAACTACCTACTCTTAGGGCACGCATGACACTGTTAACCACATATACTACTTATTTTAAAGCACACATGACACTGTTAACTGCAGATAATACATATTCTTAAAGCACACATCACACTATTAATCACATATACTACTTGGTATTACCACACATGGCACTATTAACCACAAATAATTTCTAGTCTTAGACCACACATGACATGGTAACTACAAATACTATCTAATCTTACCACACATGAGATTGATGACCACATATACTACCTTATTTTAGATCACACATGACAATGATAAGCATATATACTGCTTGATCTTAGAGCACACATGACACTATTAACCACATATACAACCTACTTTTAAAGCATACATCACACTGTTAACCACTAATAATGTATGGCCTTAAAAACTGTATGATATAGTTGATGATCCTGCATGGAGCATTCTTTGATAAACTTGATCTCATTGAGCTCTAGATTGATCAACTTTCTTTTTAAAATTTTGTTTCAATTTTTATAATTAAATTTTTAATTATACGATAAATTATATTATTCTCCTAAAATTGTTTATATACATGATACATCTGATGGGAAAACAAAAGGAAGGTGATATATTTGCCATTTCAGAGAGAGAGGTCAAAATCATATATTCTATGATTTATATTTGAAAGAGATAGAAATTGACAATAAACCAGTCACACAATTCAATAAAAAGGTTGGCAAAATATAATAAAAAACTTACGTGAAAGAACAAGAAGATTATATGATAAAACTCAATTGAAGAGTAAATTAGATAAATTGAAAAAAAGATTGGAAACTGCATAAAGAATTAAAGAAAGTGGTCATTGGATTTGATTGAGACCTTATTAATAAAACAATGGATGAATCAGAAGAGTGATGAAGAGAAAAAGTTTTAATAAGTAGAAATGCTATATGTATTCATTATATTCTCATATTTATTTAACTATATTTATTTAACTTCGATTTCATCAACTGCAGGTCTCGCGTAGTGCCAAAAATTTAAGATTTCTAGCATAGACTCTGAGTTGAAGGAGAAACTTGATTATATATTTCTTGGTGTTGTGGCTACGGGCTTCAATATTTGGGCAACAACATAGAACTTCCCCCAAAATATGGATGAGCCCGAATATGCTCATTCAAATGAAGTCCATAAGAAAGCCCCAAATGAGATAGAACAAGGTGAATCGAGTCATTCCAAGCACTCTGCACCCTATACACAGAAGCGAAAAAAGAAAATATAAGTTGACACAAAATATTTTTTTGAGCTGATTTTACAGCTGGTCATGACCTACACTAGTATGACGTCCACCCAACCATGTTAGAAATCGTGAAGCTAGTGAACTCCACTCCCGTGATATTCGATGATATGTCCTTATATTTATTCACTATAAAACTTCTAGATGATCAAACGAAGTTGGAGGCTTTTATGAAGATGGTGTCGGACTAGAAGATTTTTTACCTCCAATATTTTTTATATAAGTAGTCTAGTTAGTTTGTATTTTTTTTATTTCTTTTCTTCATTAGCTTGTAATCCTTTGAACTTTTAAGCCGAACAATATCCTGTGATGTGTTGATGTGACATGTCAACATTTATGTTTCGCACTAATAGTAGTACTTTATTTATGCAATTGTACACTTATAGCATAGCTTATTATTTTTATTATATTTTGCAATGAGCCTATACATCATACTTAATCATCACAAGGTAAAGAAATTTACTCAAGAAGTATGAGAAAGACACCACACAAATTCATTGAAACAAGAGATATAACTTAACCAAATGTTTACAAATGAAATACAATAGTAAAGACAAACAAGACTTATCTTCCTCTACCTTACAATGACCTGAAGATGCTTAACCAAGACTCCTCCTGAACCTAGGTTGTTGCTCCTGAAGGCTCTCCCTCTCCTCTGCACTAGAAGAGAAGAAGGATTCTACAACAAGCTAACTCTCGAAGTTCATCAATCTCTCCACATTCACCAATCCTAGCACCCCCCTTCTTCAATCATTTTAAGTCCCTCATACATTACTTTTTATAAACTCAACATAAAAAATCACTCCATGTCCTCCTCAGCAACTTCCCACGACAAGCTTCTCGATTTGCCAAAACTGCTCCAGGCAATTGTTAGCATCTAT